CCTTTTGAATAAGCACAGAAATGAGCTGGCACTCCACACTTTTCAGTGCTCAAGGCCTGTATCTGAATCCAGCCTGGAATAGCTCGGTGCAAAGAGTTCTTACATGTCATAGTTCTCTAGGTTGAAGACAGCTGTAATGTCAGCTTCCCCTGCCGAGTGCAAAGATTCTGCAAGCCTGGGGTGGGGGGCGCAGGAAGTGCCTGCCCTGTGCTTCTCCCAGGCCTTGACGGTGATGCTGTGTTCAACACAGAAGACAGCGCTTGATTTTAAAAAATCATTGTAACATCTTCTATTAATAAGAAATCGAGTCCAGGAAAATATAGAGAATAATAAAACAAGCACCCATAGAATTGTGACAGAATTAACGATACTAAACATCATGATCCTTCTGTCATATTTACTTCAAATCTTCCTTCATTGTAAAAGAAACAAGACACAAACAGCCCTTGTGTTTTTAGCTCGTGGCTTTGCTCTGTCCTTGCCCTTGTTTTCATGTGGGTTAGTTTGATCACCTCAGTGGCAGGTAAGCACTTTGAAAACAAGAGTCACGCTCCCTGGCTCCTTCTCAGTGCCTAGCAGTTTCTGGCACATAGTAGATACTTAGCAAATGGTTGATGAATGACTGAGTGGGTGAATAAATTTTCTTTTCCTTTGTGAGTCTCCTTCATGCCTTCATACATCTTCTTGCCATTGGTATTTAATTGACTACTAAAGAACAATTCCTATCCTTAGCTCAGAAAAGGAATTTAAGTTATAAAATACATTTTATAACTGCAGGTTTTCTCCTTCCTTTTTTTGTGATAGATCCAAAGACATAGCTAGGGAAGGAATACACTTTAATCTTATCCTTCAGAGAGCTAGCTTTATGGTTCAAAATGGAACAGCAAAAAAATTGCTACTGCTTTCCTTTTGCAGTTTTCATTTAGTTTATAACACACACCTTTTTGTCAGAGATTTCTCCTAAATAGTTATCAGTGGGGCCCTCCCTGGTGGCGCAGTGGGTTAAAGCACAGCACTGA